AACCGCTTTAGCAAATATGCAATTTTCATTCCTTCGCCTGCAGAGGCACGTACGGACTTAGTTATATAGAAGTTTTTTGACTTTTGGGTAAGTGAGAATGGAATCCCATTGTCAATAGTTAGTGGTAGAGATAGTCGTTTCACCAGCCAGAACTGGCAAGAACTCATGAGAGTTTACGGATCTAAGTTGCTAATGCCATCTGGCCGTCACCCAGAGACTAACAGTCAAACAGAATAGATGAACAAGATCCTACAGCAAGTTCTGCGCATGTACATTAGACCAGATCAGATTAACTGGGATGAGATGTTGCATAAGGTAGCTAGTGCATACAACAACAGCGTGCATCTATCCACCTGCCGCACTCCCAATGAGTTGCACAAGTCCTTTCGACCACACCCCGTTCGAAGGACTGAACCGAGATCACATTCACAGATTACCCCCCGGTACCAGGGAGTTTGCGATACAGCACGAGAAAGAAATAGCCACCGTTGTTGAAAACCTCAAGAAGGCCCATCATAGGATGATAGAGAAAGCTAATAAGCACCGCCGCCCGTCGCAGTTTCAAGTAGGCGACTTAGTCTGGGTCAAGGCTAAAGAGTTTGCACCTGAGGAAAACATCTCGCAGAAGTTACTGCCTGCATATAGAGGACCCTGACCGGTTCTAGAAGTCAAGGGCGGAGAGGATGGACCATCCTATAGCATTGAGATTCCAGCACACCTCCACAACTACCCCGCGTTTCATGCTTCAAAGCTGCTACCGTGTGTCACAAGTCAACAGTTCCCTCCAAGAAGATCCATGATCCCTCCGGATATGGATGGAAGCTATGACATTGAAGGCATTGTAGATGAGGATGTGTTCAGAACAGGAGGTAGAGGTCGTCCCCAGAAACAATACAAGGTCCGTTTTCCCTATCAGGAACCGGAAGACGACCGCTGGTTCACGAAAACAGAACTTCTAGAAACCGCTCCCGACATTATCACAGCCTATGAACGCGACAAGAAAGGTAAAGGTCCCTCCTTGAACTGAAATGTTCTCGGAGGACCTCGAATTTAGGATGGCGGGAGTGAAACGGGTTTCACCTTTTAGCAGTAGCGGATGCAGTACCCAAGGTTCGATCCCTAGACCTCACCCTACCTATGTACAGTGTCTGTATAGATCCCGAGAACTGAACCTGTGACCTGTGTATTCGAGGACAGTTCGTAGGTCTGTCGTAGGTCCCTAGGCAGCAGGGGTTCTATCTGTAGGTCTATAGCGTAGAAGTCTTAGTGAGTTCCGGGAGCTTAGCTGTAGACCTAGAAGGTAGGCAAGCGGGCAAGTGGTCAAGTGGTGAGGCAAGTGGTGGACTAAACCGCAGTGTAACAGCAGTACAACGTCGGTAGGATAGCTGTGAGTCCACAGTCAGTCAGCGGAAGGTCCAGTCAGTCCCAGTCCGGTCCAGCAAGTACCACACAAGAAGGGTTTTCAATACACGAATTCCATTGTCGAATCCTTACATTTGTTCTCCAGTTTTTGCAAGTCCTTTGCCAAAGCATCACCCTACTTTCGGCCGTATCTTTACACAATTGTTTGCCGACCCCAGTCGCCAGTTCAATCCACATGCATGACCGTGAATTTTGCAGCGTACATGTGGATCACGATTGCCTGTGTGCTCGATGTCGAGGCAACTCACTGAATTTCACTCCCGAAAGTCTGGGCTTTGAAGCATGTAAAACATATGTGGGCTCATTGTAGAAATTATATTATATTTGCCAACATAATCAAATACAACGCATGCCTTGTGAATGAATCCAATACACAGGTTGCTTTCTTTTCGAATACAATTCATGTGTTCTATTCAGACAGCCCTAATATTCAGGTCCCATAGTGAAGAATTCCAATGTGAACTTGTGAATCTGGTGCTTCGATCGCTTACAATTGTTTTAGGGGGATACCATTCAAGCATGTGTGCATTTCGAATTCCTCAATCACCCGGTCTTTTGGCGCATATGGTAGTACGCAAACAAGTGACGGAAAACATGTCACCACGTACCATGACTTGAAACAAGTTGGCATTTTTCCAAGCCTAGGGTCTAGAGGCAGCATCTAAAAACAACGCACAGTTGCTCCTTCCCACTGAGCCTTTGCCAGGCCTTGGCACTGTCAATTTCGGCCCAGTACTCGTGAACGATCTACAGTGCCCACTACAGATGCACCGGTGGTTTAAACCCATTCCCATTCCAGAACGCCCCAGTGAAATCTATTTCCATTGATTTCACCGACAGAAGAAATCAGTTTTCTTTTAAGTCATGGTGCATGTTGACAGGTTTGCCGTCACTGTCGATCCTTAACCACCCCATGTGCCAAAAGACCTGATGATTGAGAAATAAAAAATGTGCAACATCCTCAAATGTTGTCCCCCTAAAAGGATTGTAAGCAATCAGAGCACCAGCGTAATCCTTCACTGCAGGAACTGTATTAAACCACAAGTACACGGCCTCAGCCTTGCAGTCCAAAACTTGTCGCCACAAGAAAACAAGGCCACATTGTCAAACACTGGGCCTGCCGTTGATAAATTCAATCGGCGACCCCATTATCGTTATGGCGCTCCTGAATTCGACGTGTCAGACCTGCGACCCAGGTGCCCATGTACTGGTGCTTCAAGCGCGGCTGGCCATGACTTCAGATCGTCAATGAGAGACAAATGGACAAGAATAAAGAATCCACTGGACAGTCACACAATGGCTGCATTCGCTCATTATCCGAGACCAGAACAGTTGGCATGAGGACCTATCAATGGCAGACAATGTGTACTACCATTCCATCAATCTCACTACCGGTATGACCCGATGTAATTTGCAGGTCGGTTCGTGTGTTCGAAGTCCTCTTGACAACTTAGTAACATCAATGGCATATCTGCTTGACCACTGGCATGCCTGGAAAGGGTGCGAAGTACCAGAAACTGCCTGCATACGCCGTCTTAACGATGCACGCGCAACAAGAGGACGTGGTCACGCATCCAAAACAAGCAATGCACACCTGCTACTAAGCCTGATCGGCAGGACATCAGCTTGACCGCCTGCATGCCTGGTGAGGATGTAAAGTACCAGAAACTGCCTGCATACGCTGTGTTAGCAATGCACGGGCAACAAGAGGACATGGTCAAGCAAACAGTACATCGGCTTGACCGCTGGCATTCCTGGTTAGGGTGTGAAGTACCAGAAACTGCCTGCATACGCTCAGTTCAGCAACAAGGTATAGTGCCATGCAAACTGTTGCCCCTCTACTATGGACCGTGGCCTATTCCCAAGGTCCTAGGATTTATACACTCTAAACCCTCCTGTGGCATGGATTCCACCCCACATTTGTGGACATAGCCCATGTTTCATGCATATCTCCACGACAACTGAAAGTGCTTCAAGGATGCACTTGCAACAACCAAAGCCATGAGATCCTCGGTCACAGTTACGCACGAGTCATGATCTCTGTTCCCGTACACCACGTGGCTTTGGATGTGGGTGGCTGCTTCAGAACTACCGATGCGGTTTCATAGACACCCAACCAACCATAAAATAAACCCCGGTTACCCACTATTGCATCATTCTTAAACACCATTAGACGTTCGCCGGGCCTTTCAAAAACACCTGCCTGTTAGCACAGGGCAATGGAAAAGAAATGCTCAGAGAGCCCATCCCAGAAAGGCCATCAGCGACAGACAAGTTGCGTGCCATGACAGTTTGAATCTCTTGAAACGCGCCCAGTCATAAATCAGCATTGGGAAAAAGAGGTTGGGAACAACTGATGGTTTTAACACGCTCTTCTCCTAATGAGGTGCAAGTTCTTAAATCTTCCTTCGTTTTCACTCGCCCTCGTAAAAGAGAAGAGGCCCTTACCTTATTTCTTTCATCGGAGTAAATCAAGATTTTTCGTTTGTTCATTCACACACTCGGCCAATCAGCACTTCCACATCATGCAGATCACACTTGCCAGATGTCTCCATCAAGCAAGGGCCAGTCTTCTTCCCAGGCATCACCACAGATAGACAAACATGAAGTTCATGTGAGGAGATAGGTGGCGAGCGTAGCACCAAGCGAAGATAAACAAACAGAGGAGAACCAAGAACTCTCCCTCCACAAGACACTGACTGTGACTGACACGTTGGCAAGCTTCTTACTCATTTCTGAGCTCTCTTTACTCATTTCTTAGCTCTCTTTACTCATATCTAAGCTCTCTTTACTTGTTCACTAACACTGATAGGAACCTTGGAAGTAGGACAAACCTGCCAAACATGCAGTCCTTCACCAAAGAGCAAACCACACACTTGCACAGCTGCTACCATTCCCAACATCCGTGAGCGGGCCCAACAACTTAGGGAAGGCACTAACTGTAGAGGTATCCTCAGCCAACATCCTAACGATGCGTCATCATTGCTGAGACGAAACACACTAAGTTTCATTGAGATGTTCCTGAAGATACGCCTGAAGTAAATTGCAGTAAGTTTCAGAATGAAACAAACAGAGTTGCAACATTTCCACTGCCTTCAGTGTAGCAAAACCATTCACATGTTCCTGAACATAAGTAGAAATAGTTGTACCCAACTAACACCCCCCCTCTCTCTCTCCCAACTACTTCACATGTTCCTGAAAGTAGTGGACACATAGTAGTACGCAGGTCACCCTCTCTCTCTCTCTCTCCACCACATCGCATGTTCCTGATTGTTATGAACGTAGTAGCACCCAATAACATGTAAAGTGGTTGAGAGAGAGAGAGAGAGAGAGAGAGAGAGAGAGAGAGAGAGAGAGAGAGAGAGAGAGAGAGAGTTGGGTACCACTTTGTCCACAGAGAGAGAGAGAGAGAGAGAGAGAGAGAGAGAGAGAGAGAGTTGGGTACCACTTTGTCCACTATGTTCAGGACCATGTGAATGGTGTCGCCGCAAGGAAGGCAATGGAAGTCTTGCAACTCTCTGTTTCATTCTGAAACTTACTGCATTTTACCTCAGGCATATCTATAGGAACATCTCACCGAAACTTATGCATTTCATCTCAGCAAAACCATCTCATCCTCTACTCCTATCTGGCGCATCTTTAGGATGTTGGCCGAGGATATCNAACATCTCACCGAAACTTATGCATTTCATCTCAGCAAAACCATCTCATCCTCTACTCCTATCTGGCGCATCTTTAGGATGTTGGCCGAGGATATCTCTACAGTTAGTGCCTTCCCTATTACTGAGAGTAGTGGATACATCTCTCTCTCTCTCTCTCTCTCTCTCTCTCTCTCTCTCTCTCTCACACACACACACACACACACACACACGCACACACACACAACCGCGTCACATGTTGCTGAATGTAATGCACGTAGTAGTATGCAACAGGAATCAAAATCATGCGCAACCGTGAGCACAAACTCCCATGCAGCCAGCAACATGGACTGATGCTCCTTCCACCCCTCCTANAGTAGTATGCAACAGGAATCAAAATCATGCGCAACCGTGAGCACAAACTCCCATGCAGCCAGCAACATGGACTGATGCTCCTTCCACCCCTCCTATTACAGGCCGTTTACAGCACCAACAGTACCATGCGGCCAATCTCAATGGCAACACAGAAGATGAAGAAATGCACCAGCCACCAAATCTGTGGAGCAAGTAACTACCCAATACAGGCAGAATAAGGAGTTACATAAGATATATACTGTGTGACGACAATGAATCACTTAAACCACCACTACCCCCGACATCAGAAATTCGGCTTTCCTGGTCATACAGTGCAGGCAGGTCCAGTCCCACAACTTTCAGCAACTTCTTTGATTTTTTGTGCTCAGAAGAATAACTCAAAAGCCCTGAAAATCGGACGGACTTTAGATTTGGTCGTAATTTTTCCAGGAAAAAAAAAATAAAATAACTAAACAAAATTGGTTCAACCGCAACATAAATTGCGGCGGCAATTCAACGCATTTTCCATTTTTGCCACTCCGCCCGGTCCTCCCCATGGGCTACTGGTAGTCCTCGTGAACCTGTGCTACCGGTCTGCTCGAATTTAGGGTGGTGGGGGTAGTGGTGGTCTAAGAAAACACAGTGATGTGTGCAGGCTGCTACAGTAATCAAGTGATGAAGACCCTGTCATACCCCACACAGTAATCAAGTGTGGATAGAGATAACAGAAAGCAACAGCAGCAGCAGCCACTCTTGGAACTGCGGTGCACACACGACAGTCCCACAAGGTTTTTCATAACTGTATAGCCACAGCGACGAAACAATCCATGGACGATACGACCACATTTATTCTCCTCTAGGCAATCCTCTCTCTGCTAAAGTGATCAAGTGATGAAGACCCTGCCATACCCCACACTGTTTCTCAAGTGTGGATAGAGATAACAGAAAGCAACAGCAGCAGCAGCCTTCTCTTGGAACTGCGGTGCACACAGAACAGTCCCACAAGGTATTCATAACTGTCTAGCCACAGCGACGAAACAATCCATTGACAAGGACACGACCACATTCATCCTCCTCTAGACAACCCTCTCTCTCTCTCTCTCTCTCACACACACACACACACACACACACACACACACACACACACGCTCACACACACAAATTGGTTGAAGCTTCCTTGGATGCAGGACAGGACCACAATGTTTTGACTGTGTAGTAGCAGGAACGCAATGATATGATGACACAGACGTCATCACATTCATATCCTCTGCTCTCACTCACCAACCCTGTTGTAGAACAGGCGAAGAGTTTTCCCAGGAATACGGCGCAACAACTCCCGTGGAAAGACCAGAAGCAACGACCATGGGAGAATCAAACGACTGATAATTTCATACCCTCTGCTCTCACTCAGCAACCCTGTTGTAAAACAGGTCAAGAGTTTTCCCAGGAATACGGCGCAACAACTCGCGTGGGAAGATCCGAAGCAACGACCATGCAAGATCCAGCGACTGATAAATATCTCGTGCATCATATGGTCCCTGTGACACAAACTTCCGTTCGAACTTGTCCAGGAACTCCAAATACAGCTGCAAAAAGATAATGCCAGCAAGACAGCTTGTCAATGGATAGAGCTCTCTCCCCCATCACATTCAAGATACCTTTCCTCCCTCACCAAAGAGCCATCCATCCATTCCATTTTTGTTTCCTTCAGACTTTTCAGACAGAAATCCTTCGTATACTGCAGAATTTAATACACAACTCGGACCCAGACAGAAATCCTTCATATACTGCGGATGTTCAGCAAAGATTCAAAGCAAAATTACCGCAGACCCAGACCCCAGAGAAATCCGAACCATCTGGACAGTGTCAGGGGGCGCCCGTACTTATCTGGATAAGGAATGGCCAAAAGAGGAATGTTTTATTTTCCTCCTTTCCCAAACTTCCTTGAATTTGGCGGTGATTTCAGGATGACCACTACCATCTTCACTCGAACACAACGTACGGTCATTATAGCTGTATTTGAGGCAACTTTGAGTCTAGATGCAGCAATAATGACCGTACGTTGTATTCGGGTGAAGACAGTAGCCAACAGTTTGAACCCACGCCACACCCCACACTGCAGGACGACTTTTAGTTTTTTTGTTATTTAACCGGAGTGGGATTTGAACCCACGCCCTTAAAAAATTTGGACCATCTCTCGATTCATGTGCGTCTTCCTTGCGCAGGGGCCTCGCTAATTGTCTCCGTATACTTCCAGTATTAACGGATTATTTTGATTTTTTTGAGAAAGTCGGAATTTTCCAAAAACTGAAAGTATCCCGACATCATCCGCACCTACACATCCAGCCCGTACGGTCGGCCCCTGCCCAAAAAAATATTGTACTGCAATGTGGCATGACAGAATGTTTTCCAGATTCGTTTGATTCTTTTGAAAAGTCGGAGTTTTGCAAAAAATAAATTATCCAGACCCCATCCAAACGCAGACATCCAGACGGTACGGACGGCCCCCAGCCAAAAGTCTTTTGTGTTGCAATGTGGCATGACATATTGCTTCCCAACCCAAAAATTAAATTATCCAGACTCCATCCGGGCCCAGACATCCATGCGCTATGGACAGACCCCGGCCAAAAGTTTTGTCTTTCAATGTGGCTTTCCAGATTATTTGCAGATTATTTGATTCCAGGGCAAGGGCATGGTCCCTTCCATTGCCACAATTCCTTACTAAGGGTCTCGTTAGACACTGCTAAAAGTGCCTGTTTTTAGGATTGCGTCTTGTGGTTGCAAGCAATCCTAAATCCAATTTTGAGATCGAAAAAGTGTGAACAGCGTTAGGACGAGTCCTGAAGGATTTAGGATTCCCCAGGCAAAATCGTCCTAAATTTTCCAGTAGCCCCCGACCTACTGAAAAATTTAGGATTCCCGCATTTCACGGACTCGTTGCGTTGTGCGCATGGCACCGTCGACACCGAGTTGCTGGTGCAGAAGCGGGGTCCGTCCGGTCAGTGGTTGGACATTGGGGGTTTTCTGTGGGTCGACGCAGGCAACGGCCACGAATGGTAGCCGTTGGCGGGGATTGGACGGACAGTGGCACCAATGGATGAACATTGGCGACGCGGCTGAGTATACGCATATGAAAACCGGCCACGGGAGACCTTTTACAACGAATCCTAAAAGATTATTTTTAGGATTGCGTGTAACGACGCCGCACGAAAGCCTAAAAATCCTTTAGGACTCGTCCTAAAAATTTTAGGATTCTTTTAGGAGTGTCTAACGAGACCCTAAGAGGAGAGAGGGCGGGACAAACAAGAATCTATTGCAAATGTTCAATTTCAGAGGACAAAAACAACTAGAAAACCTTTATGCCAAACAAAAGCCAGACCTGAGAACAACCCCACTGAGCTGCTAATTTGCAAATGTCAACAAAGCAGTGGAGAAGCTGGTCCATCTACACACGCTCACAATACCAACCCGAAAAAGGTAGACCAATTCGATAACCAACCATTCTCAGACATGGAGGCAACCTATACCCACAGATCTCCAGTTCATCAAAAATCCAAAATGATGAATTTCAGTTGTCCATACAAACTGGGTCTAGAGATCTGATAGTTAGCACCAACAGCACAGACACACACTGCCGCCACCCAATAGTACGAACATGTCTGCACCATACCGAACCAGGGCCTGCGATACGCCCTGCATAGCTATAACTACAAAAGGAGTTGCAATCTGCGCTGGGAGGCACATCGTGGACATTGTTTCACACTTGACCCGCAAGTCCATTAATTATTCCTTCCCCCTTTCCCCTCGAAACAATCCGAGGCGGCATCCAACCAAATCTACAAAATTCTTCTGGGACCTCTCCGTTAGATGCTCGCACCATGCACAAAAGGGCGAAACAAAAGTGCAAGAGAAATGGCGGGCGTGGACGTACCAGATCCTCAGACGACAAGGCCTCTTCACCAACAACTGCCTTCATGGCTTGCACGTCCTTTCCAATAGCATAGTTCGCATACAGCTGAATTACACATTCCACCAACACCAGCCACCAGACATCTGCTGAGCATACAGTCGGCAAACATGGTTACAACTTCGAACTGTCATCATTTCAAGGACTGGGCCATTACCCACACCGGACGACTTCCTGGAGAGCATCTGACCACGATTCCAACCCAATGGTCAGCCGACCCATTTTTTCCACAAGCCACCACAATAGCATGCTTTGCCATTAAAAAACAAGTCGGCCAACCAAGGCGTTGCCCGTGGTGCAGGCCAGGACTCTTCTCTCACGAGGCACACAGGCATGCCGCAGCCCACTCCTACCCCGTGGTGCAGGCCAGGATTCTCCTCTCACGAAGCACATAGACACGCCCCAGCCCCCCCAGCCCCCTCCTCCTACCCCACCTTAACCATACGGTCAGCCGATCCACTTTTTCCACAAGCCATAACAATAGCATCCTTTTTCCAATTGACAGAACAAGTGGACCCAGCCGTGAGGCCGCACCCCAGTCCTGCCTATACACAGCAGGAAGCGTGGCAATATCATGTGGGTAGGATGAGCAAAATCGGAATGAATGTTCAGCCAGAACATGGAAATATTCAATGCCACACTTAGGAAGTTACACCACGACAGACATACATTGAAGTTAAATCCCGGTGTCAGTATGGTCCAAGGAGCTCTCAAACGAAAATATCCCACAGAGAGAGAGAGAGAGAGAGAGAGAGAGAGAAAGAGAGAGAGAAGGAGAGGGAAAGGGAGAGAGAGAGAGAATTCCATCGATAGGATGAGCAAAATGGGAATGAATCTGTCGCTAGAAATTGGAAATATACACTGGCACAATTTCGGACTTTAGCAGTGTACATTTCCATGCTGTGGCAGTGAAAACTTCCATGTTCAATGGGAACATTCAATCCCGCTTTCCTCATTTGGTGAAGCATGGCAATGTTGGTCTGTGTGTGTGTGTGTAGGATGAACAAAAAAAATCGGAATGAATCTTCATCCTACACTGGCACACTTTTTCTTCTTCTTTTTCTTTGTGTGTGTGTGTCTGTGAGTGTGCGCGCGCACAAACAACTCGGAGTCTGCAGCTACGTACTTGTATTCGAACGTGGCCTGCATATCAGCAGCCCCGCCAGCCAGTGCGGCCCACACAACGCCACAGGCCCAACAGGAAATGACGTTTTTCCAACACTGGCAGCCGGGCCTCAAGAGCATTACGCGAGACCCGGCTTACACTTGAATAATAAGAGTACAGAAAACAACTCGACCCACCGCCGCTACACCCATGTTGCAGGGCGGGACTCTTCTCTCATGAGGCACATGGACATGCCGCACCCCACTCCTACCCCACCTCCGCCTTTGGCATCCAGGTGTCGACGCCCCTCCTACTGTTGAAACAAATAAGAACAAAGAAGACTCCAAACATCTCAGCATTATTCTACTCACCAATGGTGCACCCACGAACTGTTGAAATACAGACCTGATTTCGAGTCCACGGGACCACATAAACAGAAAATCAATTCTGAATTTCCTAGGGCCCGTCAGTGCAACAATGGTATATCAAGGCCATCGGCCGTAGGCCTTCCTTTTTTGAAAAACAAGCCTGGGTCTGTATTTCCACAATTAATGAGTGCACCAGTGGAGACAGGTCTGTTGGCATTGCCCCGGCAGCGAAGTGCAACCCCTCTCTCTCTGCAGGGGGATTCCTGTTCCTCCTCCTCCTGCTGCTCCCGAGGTCCTCTTCCCGGTCCTCCTGTTCCCGCTCCTGTTCTTGCACCTCCTCACTCCAGCCACATCTTCCCTCCATCCCGGACTCCTCGGTGTCCTCCACTTCTTTGCCTCCTCTTCCTCCTCCTCCCGCTCCCAAGGTCGTCGTCCTCCTGTTCCTCCTCCTCACGCTCCCGAGGTCATTTCCTCCTGTTCCTCCTGCCGCTCCCATGGTCCTCTTCCCGGTCCTGTTCCCGCTCGTCCTCCTCTTGCGCCTCCTAGCTCCGGCCACGTCTTCCCCCCTCCGCTTCTTCGTTGCCTCCTCTCGCTCCCGAGGTTTTTGTCCTCCTGTTCCTGCTCCTCGTGCTCGTGCTCCTCCTGTTCCTGCTCCTGCTCCTCCAGCTCCTCCAGCTCCTCTTGTTCTCAATCACACCGCTTGTTGTGTTCCTTCTTTGGAGATTTTGTGACAAACACAGGGTTGCATCCCTGCCGACCGCTGACCCCGACCATATTGCAGCCAACCAGTAGGGCCAACCGGTTGGCGGTCTGCCGACCAGTCAGAAAACAACCATCCACTGTTTTTTTTCCAAATCTGAGTTGGGGGCTGTACTGCGCTTGCTGAGCACAGCCCAAATCCGCTGAGAAATGCTTGGGGATGGGGGGAATGGGTGGAGTATGGGGGTGATATAGAGGGGGTATTGGGG